CACTGCATTTTTTTTCTTTGAGATAGAGTCTCTCTCTGTTGCCCAGGCTGCTGTGCAGTGGTGTGATCTTTTCTCACTGCAACCTCTGCCTCCCAGGTTCAAATGATCCTCCTGCCTCAGGCTCCCAAGTAGCTGAGATTACAGGTGTGCCCCACCACACTTGGCTAATTTTTGTATTGTAGTAGAGACAGGATTTCATCATGTTGGCCAAGCTGGTCTCCAACTCTTGACCTCAAGTGATCCACCTGCCTCAGCCTCCTAAAGTGCTGGAATTACAGGTGTGAGCTACCATGCCTGGCTTGCATTAGGTTTTATAAGTAATCTACAGAAGACTTTAAGTACACAGGAGGGTGTGCATAGGCTATATGCAAATGCTATGCCATTTGCCATTTTATGTAAGGGACTGGAGCATCTGCAGATTTTGTTATTCCTGGGGATCCTGGAACCAATCCCTGCCCAGATACTGAGGGACGACTGTAAGTAGAAAAACAGGCTTTAGACTATCTCCTGAAATGACTCCTGGAGCAACATGGTAGAGCTGATCATCAGGGTAATCACCCATGAACTCGTCTCTGAAATTACTCTAGAGAGCAGGAAACGAGACTAGGAAGTTGGTGATACTGTTGGTACCATCACTGCACCACTTGACTATCTCTTGATGTTCACAAAATTGGTGATTTCGCACTGGAACATGGACCTTCAAACTTAAGAATCACAAGAATAGACTCTAGAACACAGCTGCTAAAAGACTCTCATGAGCTTGCTTGCAAGAAAAAGTCACCAAAAAAGAAGTAGGAAGATGGCTTTTGCTTCATTTTTTCCCCTTCAGATCTTTCAAGAACAAATCTTATAGATGAAACGTAATTACATCCAGCACGTAGCTGTGAGGAAGTCTAGCAAATGTAGTTTTTTGCTTTCCTGTTCCTTCAAACAAGGAGGAAGCTGGAACAGAAATTGAGCAAGCCAATCCACATTTGCCACAGCAAACTTATTGTGTGTTCATTCAAAATATTGGCAACATAATGAACAGGCCAGAACCGTGTGGCACACCACTAGAAATGCTTGCCAGATGGATATCATTACTAATTATATCATTACTAATGCTTGCCAGGTGGATATCATTACTAAACTTAATATTCAAGTAAGTTTCCTAGGGTCATAGTTGTAATTGGCAGAGGTAAGACTTAAACCCAGGTCTGACCAGAATGCTATATTGCCTTCCAATTTGATCAGTAGCTCAGAATCCATCTACTCTTATTTCTGCCTCCCCTAACCCCTGAAGCTATGAAGGGGTATTTTTCTAGGAGCCTCTCCTGATTTACCAATCCCAATGAAAAACAGATGCAGATTGCCATTCCTAGGGTATGCAGGGCGTCCATTGATGGTTTTAGCAATCATTATGTGACTCTAACATTCCCCACTCCTGCTTAAAACCTTCTAGCAACTATGTTGGCTAGAATTTGGATTTGTGTTGAGTGATAGGAGACTCAAAATAAGTGTGAATTAAACCAGAAAGAAATTTATTTCTCTCATGTAAAACACATCGAGAGGTAAGCAGTTGGGACTAGTTGGGCAGATTCCCTCCCAAAGTTATCAGGCCTTGAGCTCCTTGTAACTTGTTGCTTCATCATCCTCAGCATGCGGCTTTACCATGAAGTCCGAGAGAGGTGCCTGAGTTCTAGCCATCACATTTGCATTCCATTTGGGAGGGAGGAAGGACAAAAACACTGCAACGAAGTAGCACCCATACCTTCTGGTTACATCTCTTTAGTTGAGCAATTGAACTGCAAGGGAAGTTAGCAGATACAGCCTTTTCGTCAGATGGCTGTGTGCCCAGCTAAAAATCAAGGACTTTAACAGTAAGGAAGAAGGGGAGAATACATGCTAGTGGCAAATATTTGCCTCTGCTATAGTAACCTCATTGCATCCTGCAAAGACATTCACTGTGTCTTTTTCATTATATTGCAAAATTTCAAAATGGCAGGCGTCTCCTTTAGTACCTTGTACAGAGACTGACATATTTTAGGCACTTTATCATCTGTTCAAAAAAAAGTCCCATTTTTATTTTCTGATGAAATTTTAAGTGATTTAAACATAAATATGATTAGGATATACCTCTATGAAATGTGCTTGAAAAGCTGTGTGGAAAACAAAATTTTGTATTTAAATCTTAGTTCTCCTAATTCATCAGGGTATTTTCATGGATAGAAGGGAGGGAAAAGGATTCAAGTACTTTGGAGGAAAGTTACAAACTACAGGTAAATCTAAAAGCACCAAAAATGAAAAAGAATTGTTGAGATAAAAGGATGGGAGATTAAAAAGAAATAAAGAGGCCGGGCGCGGTGGCTCAAGCCTGTAATCCCAGCACTTTGGGAGGCCGAGGCGGGTGGATCACGAGGTCAAGAGATCGAGACCATCCTGGTCAACATGGTGAAACCCCGTCTCTACTAAAACTACAAAAAATTAGCTGGGCATGGTGGTGTGTGCCTGTAATCCCAGCTACTCAGGAGGCTGAGGCAGGAGAATTGCCTGAACCCAGGAGACGGAGGTTGCAGTGAGCCGAGATAGCGCCATTGCACTCCAGCCTGGGTAACATGAATAAACCCCCGTCTCAAAAAAAAAAAAAAAAAAAAAAAAAAAAAAGAAATAAAGAACTCCGCAAAAATCAAACTCAATTCTAAACTTAAAACCAGAATGAAAATTCAAAGAAGCCACCAGATCATTCAACTGCAGTAGGTACAATGTGAACACATATCTTAAGTATAGCATAATGTTATGAAGTGGGGTTTGAAATTAAGATAATCCTGGCTCTTCTGTTATTATCTCTGAACTAAAATTTGCTCACCTGAAAAACAATATTCTCTAAAAATTGTTACAACGAGGATGTGAGGATATATGGAAACTATTTTAACATTGGGTCAAATGCAAAGAAATACTCTATATATTACAGTAATATCACTCTCATGATACATTTATATGACTTTCTTCTCCTCTCCAAGATTAAGTACTTTTTAAAATCAAATCTTGAAAAATGCAGTCTGTTTCATTCTTTCTTCTTAGCAGATTATAGCAACAGGGCTGGCATATATATATTTTAAAATTTTTGATTATATAATATTGATAGGTGATCCCATCCATAAGTTTATAAATTATTTAAAAATTCATTTATAACAATGCATGTCAAAATAAATGTGCTTCAGATTTAACAAAATACAAAGTTTGGTCTTTTGTTATGCTGTAGGAGCTGAGGCAGCTTGAATTTATGATGCTTACCAATATCTGATTCTTCAGCTCATATTGGGTGGGAAGGCAAGATACCAGTTAACACTGGTGAACTTATGCTTAGTTCAGCAGATTTCAAATTTTTACTTCTACATAGCATGTTATACATATTGTTGGCACTTGCCAAAGAACATGTACAAAAACTCTTTGTGATTTTAAGCCCCTCAAAGGTGGATACAGGATCTTAATCATCTTATCTAGTTATTGAGATTTTGCAGTGACCACTACTGGTTGCCTCCCTAACAGCAAGTCCCTAATATCTTCCCTAGGTGTTGGAACTCATTTAAGATGAATGACCACATGCTCCAGGAAATGGGCTTCTCTCCTAGCTATAAAGAATTAATTAAGGATCTAAGCTACGTAATTGGCCTTGGGTGAGCTTTTGATGTGGTTTCATCCATTGAGTGTGTGTATGGAGTGCAGAATGGAATATTCTGAGTTTTTTTCTCTCTGATTAAAGGCCATGAGAACTGCTCTTACTGTCCTGGTTGGGATGTTATGAGGGTATAATATCTGAGCTGTGGCAGCCATCTTGTGACCATGAGGTAATAGCCAAGCAAAGGTGAAGATGATGAAACTGAAACACAGAAAAACAGGATCTGGTGCCTGTACACAATGAACCATTGAATGAACCCATGAACCTCCTATCTCCAATATTAAGCTAAAAGTACATGTCCTTATGGTTTAAGCCAGTGTTGAGTTTTCAATTATTTGCAACCAAAATCACCTTAGATGACACAGTATTTTCACCTCCAGAATTTCTTACTGGTTGACTATATGGACTGGTTCTTAGGTTTACCTGCTCTACAATTTACCCTTTCATATCATGGAGCACTAAGGAGCCTAACATACTTACAGTAATATCTACGTAGTTCATTACTTTCATTTTCTCGAGTGATTGCCTTTCTTATGATTAGTTCCTTGTTCTTCAAGTACTTTGGAATTTTGATTTGCAGGCTCAGCTTGCATGAGAGCCTTCCTGCTCTTTATCTCTCCCTTCCTAATCTCCACTCTTCTTTACTTTTATAATTGCTTCTACCACCTGTTCAAACCGAGGGCTCCAGATCTGTGGTGATAGTGGCACTATCGCAGATCTACAAAGATCTACGTAAACAAAGGAGTAGGCTAGTCCCAGGCACTGGTTATTTTTGCTTCTCAGTTTCAAGAGTAAGGAAACTCTATTCTAGACCCTGGTTTCATTACTTTACAGGAGCTGACATTTCTGGCTACTTTGGCTTGCTTCCAGACCTACAGCCCAGGTTCTGGCTTACAAATTCATTACCCTTATCAGTTTGTTATTTCTGACACCTGGAAATGCCTATACTGCTTTTGAACACAGCTGTGCTTTAAAATTTTCTTTTTCTATTCAAAGCTCCAGAAATAAACTTACCTAGGTACTCCATTGGCTAACATTTAAAAATAAACATTATGTGAAGGAGAAAAAGATGGCTTTTTGGACAACATAAAGTTCTATGCCATGCACCATTCATTGGTAATAATCGTTAAGTGAACAGCAGAGTTTCAATGAATGAAAAAAGATCTGAGTATTCTTCTGGATTAATAGCACAAAGCAGATCAGCAGCACTGTTCTGCCTTCTGCTGATTTTTATTCATTCCCCAAAGTTCATGACATCAAAGGAAGAATAACATTGGGTCTGTTTACAAAATGTGATGCCTATATAAAATATGTCCCATAAAACACCTTGAGATCCAGTCAGTTTAATATAAAATGTTTTTAATTGTTTTTGAAAACATTTAAAAAACAATTTTTAAGCACTTTTAATAAAAAAAGAGAACTGAAATGCTACCGCAATATTCAACTACTGTAGTTTCAGCAGGTACAACAGACAACAAAACACTGGGGAAATCTGACTTTTTGCACTAAATGAAACATGAAACAGGGCTTGTTTTTGTCATTTATCGTGTAGTAAAGCACATTATAGTACAAGACTATTATATGAACCTCAAATGCACTGCACGAAAAAACACTTTCCTTCTTTTCAGTTCAAAAGTCAGTGCTTATTGCAATTATATGCAAAATTATTTACTTCATGAAGTCTTATGATAAACAGTATGTAAAATGTTTTAAACATCAAAACAATAAAAAATAATCTGGAACAGAACATGTTCAACAATAACTAAGCAGAATTAGTAAACATAAAGTAAACAACCTGTGAATAACTATGCTTGCCTGGTTAACAGTGAACCAGTTTCAATACAGCGAAGAAAAAAAAGAGTGGTTACAGGAATCCTAGTACTGTACAAGATAAGTCAATAACACTCATGCACATTTTGTGATCATGTATTAACATGGTGAAGCAAACTAAACTTAATTCTTCCTGCTGTAATATTCTCATGTAAGAGAATAATAGAAATATCTCATTGAGATCAATGCACATTGCTACATAAGACAATTTTATCTGTCACTTTGATGACATTTTGTCTTTTCATAATGAAACACATTTAAAAAGTTTAATCTGTGGACTGTATTGGTTGCATTTATCCTAAGAGATGTGCCTACCACAGGTTCAACAAATTTAGTGCAATATAGGAACCCCAAAAAGTTTGCTGGACGAATTCAACCAAATTTAAAGAGTTTGCTGCAATACTGTACAGGGGGTTAAAAATCCTCCAGTCTTTATATTTTTATCAAAAAAGATTTCCATTATTTTTATATTAGTAGGAAGCTAATAATGTAAACAAGGGATTAGAATGGCCTCAAAATCTCCTTTTCAGAGTATCTCATAGAGAAAGGCTCCCATCATTTGTTAGAAGAAATCACACAATTTCCTTTGGGTATTGCATACTTTGGTGTGCAGTAGTGCTCTGTCTCAATGTACAGTGAAGAAATAATTAGCATCAAGAAAAAAGTACCTAACAAATCATTAAATCAGGATAACAGCAAACACACACAAATGCCAATAACTAAGACATATCAATTTATAAACCTCTGCGCCAACTCTAGCACCATTTATTTATCAAAATATGTTAATACCCTACTTTGCAAATTTATTGAACAACAAAACCTTATTAAATTAAACTCTTCAGCACATTTGCTAAGTATTCATTGATTGTAGTCTTCTGATTGGCTTACTAAGATAAAGGAAAGCTTAGCTAGGTTCAAGGTAGCATAGCAAATGGTTTTTTGTTAGCTTTAAAAACAATGGCAATTTAAAAATCTTTTTGAAAGTGATCTCGATACTCACTTAAATGGAGCTTTCAACCAGTGAGAAGATTTGTGTCAATATGCAACTCATAAATAATTATTCACAAAAAAAAGGGAGCCATAGAGAGAAACATTTTAAAACAAATCCTGAGTTCTTCATTTGCAATTGTGGTTATCACAATAAATAAATAAAGCAAGTAATAAAATGCTCCTCTTCTTCAAGTACTATTGATATCCCCTTTGTTTCATCAGAGATACAAAGATATGTGGCTTCAGACCTTAGGTGGTGAAATGTTTTTTGCTGTTTTTTATGTTATCCTCCTTCCTGCTTGTTTTTCAAAGGGATCCTACGATCAAACTATGTTACTATATTCAAGAGGAGTGAAGGCATCAGTCACTCAACTGAAGAGGAAAAAATTGATTACTGAGATATATTTTAATGAAAAATTTCAAAATAAATCTCAATTAGAATCTCAATAAGTACATGCAGCCATTGTGATGAAACGAAGAGAATGCTTTTGTTTTCCTTCTCATTCCCCTGCCTCAACAAAACATAAAGCATTTTTCTAACATGCTTGTATTTATTATATTACAAATGTTGAATTACATGTACTTATTTTGTGTGTGCGTGCCTGCGCATCCATGTGGGCTAGCTCCGTATTAAAATCAACACTTACAAATAATATTAATGCAGGGTCACAAATATAAATGGCTACTTGCTTCTCTTAAAAATTTTAGTGCAGCTTTGCTTTCCTTAAAGTAATATTTAATTTTCTGTTATTTTCTCCTATTTAAGCCCTTCATCATGGGTGTATAAATGGTACTGAAGCCCCAGAAAGTCCTACAGAGATTTCATCCTACAGTAGCTCTATGCTTCAAGCCTAAATATTTATAATAACCTGAATATTATCCCTGTTTCAAGGAAGACCTTCTTGTCTACAGTTCACCTTAGCTATGATTTTATATCTAAAAGATAATGCCAACAACAAAATAGCCTATATCTAAAATTGATGGTTTATTCTGAGTTCTGTGCAGATCAACTGATAAAACCAACTTACACAAAATAAAGATTGACTGCTCTTGTAACAGCTGGATAGTCAATTGTTTACTAGCAAACAATGTGATTAAATGGGGCACGTTATAAAATTTAAAACCTAATACTTGTTCTTCTACAGACTACTGTCTTTAGACACTTGTTAAGAACTGAGGCAAGTCTAACCATTTCCTACTGAAGAAGAAACCACTTCTGCAGCAAACGCTTTTATAATGTCACAATTAATAGTATTTCTGCTGCGGGAGGCACTTCCATTAAGACAAATACAATACATATGTCTTTAGATACAGTGTGCTACATATTATAAAACACAATTTAACCCAACATTTCAACAGTAGGATGGTCCTTGCTTTCTATCCATTCAAAACCTGATGAAGTCATAGAATTCATGGATTCATTGCAAATTTGTTGAAATAATGGATCATTCTTTAATTCTTCCAGTGTAGCTTCATCGTCTTGTCCCTGCTGACGACCTGGATCAAACAGTAGATTTGGGTCTAAAGTGTTCAAATCATTGATGCTGCCTGAGAGCTCAGAAGACAACCTGATATCGCTAGAGAAATCAGATGCAGTATTAGTGAGATCAGATGCTACCTGACCTACCAGCTGCTGGTTGGGTTGCAAGCTGTCTCCACTCAACAGGTCTTTAACAGTGCTATTGAAATCTAACTGTTGCTCTCCAATTTCTGATTGTGCTTGATTTTCTCCAGGAGAAAAATTGATCTGATCGGTGCTATTACTTTTGGTGAGGTAAGATGGTGTCTGGAATTCATAAACAGAAGTGCTGGAATCGATCATATTTTGTGGGTTGGCACTAGGAAAAATAGTAGAAGGTTCTAAAATCTGAGTGAGATTCATCCGGGCCGTATAATTGGAGGGCAGGTTGTTCATTCCCAAACCTCTCACTGCGTCATCATTGTCAGAATCAAGTTTACTCAACAAAACATTGGTTATTTTTTTACTGTTTGCTTGCTTCTGAAGAGCGTTTGGGAAGGCTGTCTGCATCATGACTGTTAATGGAACTGATTGGCTTCTTTGAGCTATGTTGTTGGCACATGTGTCTGTGTGAACATTTGTGAAAACATGAACTTCGGGGGTTACTGGACTTCCAAAGGGGGTCACATTAGATCGTGGGATATTAGATACTGGATACAGGGTGCTTCCACTAAGATTACGTTGGCGATGAACAGCAGGGCTCACACTCCGGCATCTGAAGTTGCTGCTGGCAGATGAATTAGTTCCTTTATTATCAAGAGGGGCAGGGACTGCAAAACCCTCCTGTTTGTTGGTGTTATTTACAGTGGCACCTTGATGCTGCACAGGAGAGACAGGAGTCAAACGACCAAAATGAGTGTCATGATGTCTGGATTGAGACTGATAAGACTGTCCAGGCACAGCAAAAGCATGAGGTTTCCTGAAACGGTCTTCCACTAGTTCCTGATAGCTTGGGAGAATGCCATGGCCAGAAACTGATGAATTACCAACCCCACTATACCCATTATTCATCCATTCAAGCTTTGTTTTGTCAGGGTGTGTGGCCATGGGTCTTTGCATCGGTTTCACAGGACTACTTGACACAATGCTGGCATCATGATATGCCATACTGGAGCTTATTGGAGTGAATGCAAATGGATTCCTGCATTCAACAGGGCTGGGAGGGACACTACTGCTGCAGTTAGAATGTGGAGTACCAATGGGTGTATGTCGGCTACTTCCTAAAGCACTATCCACAGGTGTAGTCTGGGCTAGCCTGGAGCAAGGGCTCTCCCGTGATAGACTCTGAGATCCAGCAATCATTTCAGATGTTGGGGTTGGGGTTGGGGTTGGAGTAGGAGTGGGTGTGGGTGTGGGTGTAGGTGTGTGGATTGGAGTGCCATTGCTATGGATTGGATGATAGAAGTGGGTGCTGGAGGTGTGAGATGACATGGGAGCTCCTGGAGTTACTGACTGACTCTGAAGGGTCATTCCCAAACAGTTGCCATAGGAATGCGAATTGTTCATTGACATTTGCTGCTCCATAAGCACCAGCTCTTCCACAATACTATCTTGTGTAAGTTCATCATCAAAAGGAAAGTAGCTTTCATTTGTCTGGGAAACAGAAGGCTCAAACTCCTTCAGTTCAGATTGCAGAGGTAACTGATCTGAAGAATGTGCTTGTATTTGATTCAAAGAAGATTCTTGTATCTGGGTATGTAGCTGCTGGCTGTATGTGTCCTGTGGCATTCCTTCTAATTCCCAAACAGATTTTTCTAAGTCATTGATATCAGAGTGCTCAGGAATTGTCATAACACTGATATCTTGCTGTTGTTCACAACTGGCAGATATAAACTCAGAATCCTTAGGGATTTGTTGCCATCCATTTGGATTAAAGCTGCCAACTGACTTTGAATCACTGTCCAAGAGAAAGACACTTCCTTCAAGTTTTACTTTTATATCTGGAGATGATGATGGAGTTGTTGGCTGTTCCAAAGCTGAATCGTTGATAACAAGGGCAGGAGAATTCAAGGGTTGATTCACTCCTATGTGTGAATTGACATTTACTGATACCTTGCTAGGAGTCTGAGCACCTGCTGTTGAACCTTCTGTTTTCCCTGAATGTGGAACCTTTTGGTCCTTCTTAACACTGCCTTGTTTCTGCCCTTCTGTGGTAGCTGCTGAATGCTGTTCCACAATTGGTTTCTTTACAGGAGGCACCTGTGTTTCTTGCAATGTAGAAGACAGTCGTTTTCTTGGGCTTTTAGTGCATAATTTAGGGTCTTTATTGATTGAGTCACCATTAGATGGTGAGCTGGTGCTGGTGAAAGTTAAGTTCTGAGAAGCAACTGATAGAGTGACAGTGCTTTGATTATTGCCTGTTGATGTGCCTGGCAGAATCTCATTACAGCGACTTTTACATTTGGTCCTCTGGTCACAGACCTTAGTTGCTTTTATTTCAATGACACCTTCATTTGAAGGTTTCTGCAGTGCTCCATCTGTATTACTTTTCTGCCCCAAAAGGGCATTAGGTGTTTGGGGAGCTTTAGCCCCATCAGAGTTCTCTTGGCATTGTACAGGATGCTCATCTGATGATGTTTCAGGTTCCACTTTGACTTCCACAGCAGATGTTCCCCCTGCACTGCTGGTCCTGGACCCAGGAGACTGAAGTGATACGACAGAACCATTCTTGATCTGTGGAATACTCCTTGATTCTTCTGTTGTTCCTGTAGTACTGCTGACTGAGGCAGAATGTTTAAGAGGGGTGTTACTGTTGCTGGGTGTGAGGGATATTGTTGTCATTTTCACCACATTTAGAGAACTCACGTGTGAAGCGGGTACAACAGCAGTTTTGATGGGACTACTAGTAAAGAGGACAGTAGTTGGAGAGCGAATGGTGAGTGCACTGGTGTTGGCTGGTTTGGGTAAGATCTGAGGGTAACGGTGCCGGGCAGAACGATCTCCACCAGGACTGGCTGGAACGTTCTGGGGAGTCTTTGGTGCCTGCTTCACAGACTGCATGTGCTGAGTGACCACCTGTACGTTGAGAGGAAGAACTTTGCCATCAGAAGAACTCATTGGACTCGGTGAAGTTACCAATTGCCTAGTCCTCTGGACCTGTTAAAAGATAGCAAAAAGTCAGATTAACAGCTCTAGGTTATAAATAGTAATTCATGTATCTGTTTATACTTTCAATGCATTCATTAAATGTTAATGTTAAAAAGAAAAAAGGTCCTGTGTTAAAAGAGAGTTCTTCTAGACCAGGTTCTACACAACCAGACACACAAATATAACAAATGCAACCATAATGCATTGTAAATAAAAAATAGGTAAGAAGAGGCTGGGCACGGTGGCTCACACCTATAATCTTATCACTTTGGGAGCCTGAGGTGGTTGGATCACCTGAGGTCAGGAGTTAAAGACCACCGTGGCCAACATGGTGAAACCCCATCTGTACTAAAAATATAAAAATTAGCTGGCTGTGGTGTCAGGCGCCTGTAATCCTAGCTACTCAGGAGGCTGAGACAGGAGAATTGCTTGAACCTGGGAGGTGGAGGTTGCAGTGAGCCAAGATTGCACCACTGCACTCCAGCCTGGTTGACAGAGCAAGACTCTGTCTAAAAAAAAAAAAAAAAAAAAAGAAAGAAAAAAAAAAAACCATTAAGTCACTTTTCAGCTAACAAGATGAAAAGCTTCACAAGTGTGATGAATATTTCCTGAAACAATGATTAAAGGGAGTTATAGGAAGAAGACATAAAATCTTGAAAAACATACAACTATAAAGGTTACCTACCAGAATCTATGCAAAGATGGCTCACTGAGGGGAAACTGTCTTAAAATGTGTCTACCTTAAACGTCTGTAACTAAACCACTGCATATGAGATAAAAGTAGTATGTACCCCAGTTTGCCCTACAGTGAATAGTGCAGTTACCAGGTATTTCATGTTTTAATGACATGATGATGGTGATAATAGGAAAAAGAAAAACAAGATAAAATATCTCTTAAATATTATTATCAATAATAACATAAAGTACCAACTTACTATGGCATGATGTACTCTCATTTTAAAAGTTCCTTCATCATAACCTCAGTTGTGTGAGATAGGAAAGAAGAAGACTATTAACCTCTATTTGTAGATAAGGAAACAAACTGGCTAGCTAAAGAACTTGGCCAAGGTTCTAGTTCTGTATCTGGCAAGCCACAGGTAGGCCTACATTTAAATGTTATCAGTACATATTATAATTGTGCCCCATCTGAATGTTAAAAAGAAAAGCATTTAAATAAAAAAAAAAGTTTGCAATTAAATTATCTTGGCTTGGCTGGATGCAGTAGCTCACCCTTATAATCCCAGCACTTTGGAAGGCCAAGGTGGGTGGATCACTTGAGGTCATGAGTTCAGGACCAGCCTGGCCAACTAAAAATACAAAATACAAAAATTAGCTAGGTGTGGTGGCAGGTGCCTACAATCCCAGTTACATGGGAGGCTGAGGCAGAAGAATGGTTTGAACCCAGGAGGTAGAGGCTGCAGTGGGCTGAGACTGCAATACTGCACTCCAGCCTAGATGACAGAGCAGGCTCTGTCTAAAAAAAAAAAAAAAATTATATTGGCCTGGCCAGGGATGAAACAACTCTGAAAATGAGAAAATGACTCACTATTACATAAAGCTCTGAGAGGTTATGTGCATACTTTGCATGTCTTGGATCTTAATATTTTCAATAATGTTTCATAGCTCACTTTGTAATCAACAGCATACATCCTGAATAAGAGACAACTAACTGATGGGGAATCTGCCTGTGGTCACAAAACCAGTCTGTGGCTAAACCTATACTTGCCTTCTTTTCATCTGCCACTTTTTGTTTGTAGAAAGCCATTTATTTAGGGAGAGAAACAGCTAACTCTCACACTGAGTGAGAGAATCCAGAAAGATGGAATCCAGGAGAGGAAAGCAGCTTCCACAGAGTGGAAGGGAATAGAGAGAGATGGAGTTTAGGAGGAGAATACAGGCTTCCACGAGAGTGTGTGGAAGGGGACCCCAGAGGGGAAATCCAGGAGAGAGAAAAACAGCTTCCACGAAGAGAGTGTTCATGGAAGGTGATCCAAACATGGAGTCCCTCATCTGCCACTTTTAAGTAAACAATTGATTTCCCACAATCCCAATAAGGCCAAATACTATTTAATTATATTACCGGAATGGGACTAGGGACAGCTGCCACAACGATACCAATAGGTTGAGGAGAAAGGATTGAAGGATTTCCATTAGGAATATTAGTTACTCCATTGCTTGCAGCACTTTCTGATTTTTTTGCTGAGGATTCTCCTGGCAAAGGGGATTGTAGTTTCTGCTCTTGCTGCTTCTTTTGGATTTTCCGTTGCAACTGCTGTTTAGCATCAATTGGAGATGGCAAAGTCTTCACCTGAGGCTGAAAGGAATTACTTTCAGCTGTAGGTATAAAAGCAGAAGGCTGGGTAATTCCTTTAATTCCTGAAAATAAACAAAGGAAAGCTAAAATAAATACTCTCCTTTATAGCATGCAGGTTCCTTTGAATTTCTTTGAAAATGTAGCCATCTACTGGACAAAGCAACCAAAACAGCAAATTTTAACTCAATTTCTTTATAAAGCATCAAGTATTAGACTTTGAATTTATAAACAATTGTCAATATAGCTTTGTCATTTTACAATATGGTTCAACTAAGGTGATAGTTTCAGTTAACAACAACAGGATTTAAAAAACAGTAGCTATGTCATAAATGTGAAGAAGCTAAGATAAATGCCAACACAGCATTTTTACTTTTTCTCAAAGGTCAGTAAATTTCCCTCCCCCCATTTCTAATCAGAAGGAAGTTCATGCATTTTCATGATTTTAATATTTAGCCCATGAGGGGCATTCAATAATTCAATAAATATTTGCTGAAGCCACTCCGCATCTTGGAAAAAAATTGTATGGAGAGAACAAGTTTTTAATTCTACCAGAAATTCATGGAAATAGGCACTATTATTTTATTGCTACTATACAATTATTCCAGTATGACCTAGAAGAAATTAAGAAGCCGAATTTCTTAATAAGACTAAGGTTAAGATATTTCCAAAAAGTGTCACTGAGAAAACCTTTAAAACAGTAGTAAGATAAACATTGAAAAAAAGTAGACAAAATAAGGAAATTATAAATTTTAAGAAAAATTATATAAAAATTTTAGGAAGTTCTTTTCAGATTTAGGGTGTGGCATTGAGATCATTAGAAAGTAAGTTGTGGGTAGTAAAAACAATGACTACTCTTGTTATTTTATAGTAAGAAGAAAGGGGAGGAACAACTATCCTGCTGGTACACCTTGCCACTTTTCTTTTCCCAATCCCAGTTTCTGCTTTTCATCATTCTGGTTAACAACAACTTGATGTGGGGAGCAGGAAATAGAGAACTAAGAGGCTATAACTCTCTCCCCACACTCAATAATGATGAGGATCTGTTGAACCCCTAACCCCTTAAAAAAAAAATCACGATTTTTCCACTCAAATCCAACTCCAATTGTTTTACCCCTTCCAGGCCCCGAGCCTCAGCTCTGGCTTCTCAGCACCTGCACCCTAGAGAGCCTCTGCCAATGGCTCACAGCTTGGCTATCTTATCCTTCCTGCCAGGGTTTTTAGACAGGAATGAGTTCCAAGCAGCTGACTTACAAAAGGACATTTGTAACACAACCTGTTCTTAATATGGAGACTATAAAAAACCAAATTCACCTTCAAAGGATGGAAATTAGTCTACTATCAAAGGTCTTTTTGAAAAATGTAGTAAGGGCTGAGATTAAAATTTTAAGAGACATTCTAAAAATGTTTTCAGTAATGATACAGTTGGTCAAGTGTTTATCCTGTCAGGCTGATTGCTTTCAAAAAGGGAAAAGAAAACTGTTCTTTATATATGTAACTTTTAGTACTTTTGTTAAAAAACTTACACCATTATTTACACTTATACCTTAAAAATTAATTCATTCAACATTTTCCTCAGTTAGACTTTGTGAATATTGTGAGAAATAGGGAAGAGATGTTTCTGTTCCCCATGATACCTCCTAAATCCTCCATCTGTTGAAGTGCTCTTCTAGGTATTGGCTGGGGTAGGAGAGAACAGAGCAAATTGAAGGGTTCGCTCCTTTTCAAGCTCATTCTACCATATGCCATTATGATATAAGTGAGTGAACTTGGGCTTTTGAGACAGACAACTTAGGATTCAAATCCTGGCTCCACTACTTACATGCCCATTGATTAGTTTATTGACCTCCCCAAGTCTATAAATTGGGAATAAATATCACCTATCTCACAGGACTGCTGGGGGAATTAAATGAGGTAACATATATGAGCTGTTTAGCTTGATAAGGCTGGTTAAGCATTCTCCTGCTTGTCAGTACAATGAATAAGCAGATTTAGGTCACACAGTTTACATGTAGACAGGAAAAACTATATGACACATTTTTTTCTGAAATGGATCTTCAATTGGTCACAAAATGAGAGGTGTTATACACACCCCTCCACCACATACTAAATGTAAACTAGAAGAAAATGGAGTCATTATTAATATGTAAAAAACACTAAAAAAAGAAGTGAAGTTAATTAAGAGACTACAGTTCTGGCCAGGATAAATCTATTGTAGGTTTAAAAATATTTAGAATTAACACTTAGAAGGACTGTCCTTGGAAAAATAAGTCTTAGATCACTGTATCACTCTATTTTTAATAGAAATCACAATTTTCTAGAATGATAATTTATTCACTCTACTTTAGGTTTATAAGATATAACTGAAGTAAGATATTTTTAAAAATTCATCAGAACTGATATTTTACATAACTATTAATTTAGGAAGAAATCATTCTAACAAGACTGTCAATTCCCAAAACTGTCGATTCCAAAAATTCCTCTTTGAATAAAAATAGTCATATGAATGCATATTAAAAAATATCACTCTTGTTATTTTATAGTAAGGCTTCTTACAGTTTTCTTTTTTTTTTTTTATGAGACCAAGTTACCTCTCACAGTGTCTAAAAAATTTTTTATTTCTAAGCATTAGTTTCTGGAATAGGAAATGAACAAGTAATTTTAAAATTGAATCTTATTTTACTTCTAATATTTTATTAATTTAGATACACATATACATATATGTACAAATAAAAGTACATATAAACACATCCTATAAATGTAAAAATAGAAATATTAATAACATGTCAGCTGGGGGATCTAGTTTCATATGCCAGCAAAGCAATATACAGAAACATAGCATTAAGCTATGTTATAATGAAAAGATTATTATTTTGTTGGCTCAACAAACCCACCTGAATTTAGTGTTAAGTGGTGTAAGAATGAACTCATAGAAGTACTAAAAGATGAAGTTCTTTGATCTAACTCTTCTTCTGCTACCAGTTCTAAATATAATACCTCTGTCCGTTGTTAGCTTGTTTACAGTAATGTCGTACCTGCTGGTGCTGCTGCCATTACAGTTAGAGCTGCCATTGACTTGGTGCCTATATAGTGACTTTTTACAAGGAAGCGGGCTAATTCCAAGATGTTGTCAAATGGTTGGCTTAACACTTTCTGGGCCCATTCACACACAAGACGGCAAGCAGAAGAGATAACTTCTTCATCTACATTTTGAAGCTGCCCAGAAGGTTCGGCTCCTTCCAACTAAGCAAAGAAAAAAGGAAAAGTTAACTTGTAAAATACGAGAGAAATTAAATTGAAGCACGTTGAAGATAGGTATTCTTAATTAGAAGATATAATCTGAATCTATGGGTTAAAGCAGTATGAACTGACCCACTGGCAGACATATAAGAGGTTTGCAAATAAGAGACTCATACCCACTAGGGCACAGCAGTCAGCAGCCTTGCGAATATAACATTTTAAATGGTTTTTGAACATACATGAAGACTGATAGATACTTTGAATCTTCCTAACATAAATAAAACCATGCCAATAGCCATATATTTTTTCTAAAAAATTCCTATAAAACATATTACACTATGATTGACTTTTTCCTCTTTACTACAACACACACACACACACACACACACACACACACACACACACAGTCCAAAATATATTAAGGAAATATGAGAAATCAGTAACTTCGAAACTTTGTTCCCCCAAATTTCATGTTGACGTTTCAGCCACTGTGGGATATATATATATATATATGTGTGTGTGTTTTTTTTTTTGTTTTTTTTTTTTTGGCTTACTTAAATTGTAAAAGGCACAGTCTGTGGTCTTAACCAAATGAGACTTTGCAGGATACATTTCAGTGTTGATATAAAGGTACAGTTTTACTTATTAAAAAGAAAAGGCTGAATTCTTACCCCGTCTCCAGTTTTGTGAAAGTCAAGGTTGGGCAGTGTTGGCATATGAACAAAAGCTTTTTTTCTTAGTCCACTGTAGCAATATGTAACAAACAGTTAAGGTCTAAATATGTGAAATTAAATGAATTTCTTATACAGATTGTACTTTAGAATTAACCATATATGAAATGAGAATAAAATCAACATGAGATAACATCTGCTTTCTGAATTCTTCAGTAAGAATAACCTTAATATTAAAAACTTGGGACACTTGTCCTCTTTTGAAACTGAAATACCCTTTTAGAATGTTAAATACCACTGTCTTAAATGAAAGGATTCTCATCTGTTATAAATTTTATGAATAAATGTTCCTAATATGCTGTGCCAGCCACCAGTAACAAACAGGTCAGAAGGAAAGGAATAGCCAGATGGAAACCTGGCACAGGGAAGGGAAACTTTAGCCCAGGGCACTGGGACAAAAACAACTCTTAAGAGTGTCACAAGGGCTTTAACCTTTTCATTTCTCTTTTTCCACTGAAACATACAGGATTATCGCCTGTAACACGCCAAAGACACATCAAAACATTTCTGTTTGCATTTGGGAAGCAAGAATAGGTCATGCAACAAGTGGTTAGAGAACCCCTGTAACCATTTTAGAAAAGTAAGTTTCTTCCCTTCCCCTTCTTCTCATCTCCTCCATAGTGGTTAATTTTATGCTCTGAAAAAAAGAACAAGAGCTATGGAAGGAGAAAATGAACGTAATCTAATATGATACAGAGACCCTCTATTTTACAATCTTCTTCTAAGAGGAGAAGGAACTATAATGAATTCTTAATTTTAATTTCCTTACTTCTGTTTGCTCCTAAGTATTCCTCCATCACAAGAAGGACCTTTTCTATACTCTGGCTGTAATTTTAATACAGGCTTTAAATGGATGGCTGAAAACTATTTGCACTGAAAGTTTGGTGTTTCCGTTACAGTTCCATGAGAAAATTTTTTGATTTTTTTTTTTTTTTTTTTTTTTTGCTAAGGAGATCCCATATGTTTCTAAACTGAAAGAAGAAAAGAAAATAAGCTAGCATCTTTCTCTACTTGTATTCATATAAATGCTGAACATATGGCAGGCCTCAAAACTTCTTACTGTTAAAACAAAGGAGATCAGACCATTAATAATACTTTACATTGATAGAGTAAGGTAAAATCAATCATAATCTTAATATATGAATAAACATTATTTGCTATTTCTCTCACAGTGTGATAAATACCTGTGAAAGTTACATTTGCAATTCTACTAAATGCTTTTGGGTTACTTTTATTTGTTAATTTGTTTCTAAATAAAGTTGCCAGTTTAACTACAACAGATGTTCTTACAAGTGAGAACATAGAGATGTTACTAAAACCATTCTGGTAAAGGATATTTAGATTTGCCTCTTGTGCCCAAACGACGTGCCTTCATATTTGGAAAGACGTTTTTCATGATCTTTCCAAAATCAGCAGCACTTAATGGATGGTAACCAAGATTGTCACAATAGCTCCTGCAAAAGAAGGAAAGGCCAATTTAGATAGAATTCAGAATTATATCACAGGGAGTGCTATTTCAATACAATTTGATCCTTTTGACAAAGTGAAGCAAAGAATTTTTCAAGTCATTTACCACAACGTCTATGATCTTCACTCTTTGGCAATGCATGTTAACTCAGGTTTAGTTAACTGGCTTCACCCTCAGGATATAAAGTCATGCTTTCAATAACATTCACAAATCTTGCAGTAAGTTATAATGTTGGTACAAAGTTTTCTAATTACAACGCCAACCAGCACTCATAAATGAACATATCCAGTTCTGCCGGTAGGGCTGTAAGTTTCCCCGTATGTATCAGGCTTACATACTGGGATAATTTCCAATATACATACCATGCACATCAGACAGAGATAACACTACTAGATGGTTTAAAATTTAGAAATGTGATATGTTTGAACTAAAAGGGACCCTAGGAATACACCAACACTCTCATTTTACTGATAAGAGAAAAAACAGAGGACAGGGAGAAGTTCTAAAGGTCCTAGTGTTCTTCCTTCTATCCCCACCAGCCCTAGTACTGCCAGAAAAAAATGTTACTTTCTAAGACAGTAACTTCAAGTGGGATCAAGAGACACACCAAGTCTTAACCACTACTGGAATCAGGTGTTCTGTTTTTCTCTAGAGCTCCTAGTCATAGGTAAAGTGTCAATCCTCTACCAGTTCAGCAGCAGACCAAGGCCACACCTCATTCTGGCCACCAAGGCCTTTGGAAGAACCACTACCTGTGAAATATGAATGAAGAGGAAGCCAGAGGAATTCCCTTTGTCTCTGCCTCACCTCTCATTTAGCATCAACCAGGACAGCTTCTTGGTGAAATCATGCAGAAAAGAAATGGAAATAACTGGGACACATGGTGGGCAGGGTGTAATGGAAATCGGGACTTGGGTCTTTTTGTATATTGCTGAATGTTCTGACAATATGCCTCAAGTGACCTGAGCTCAAGAAATTAAGTTGGGAGAGATTCAGGAGGAGGCAAAGACCCCTGGGAGCCTTAATACAAAAAGAGTAAGTGTAGGTCTGGAGACAATGGTATTTCCCTTGTCTGTCCCTTCCCTATTCCCAAAACAAATCCTGCATACCATTGGGGGTTAAAAGGCAAGGAGTAGCCCAGCAAAAACATCACCAACAATGCTGAAGAGCAGGAAGAGAAAGGGGACTAACGTGTACTGAAAGTTTCCTATACGGGAAGTATTAGCAGCCTCATATTTAAATTGAGACTAAATTTGATACTTTGAGGGCTCAGGGGTCTTGCAAGGTTCAAGGTACAAAGTGAAGAGGTAACTATTTTTGGGTGCTAACAATGAAAATGAGTTGCATCAAATCAATTTCAGAAGCAAGTCAAATTAGTTCTTTATGGTTTAAACCAGCACAAAAAGAAAATTAGAAAAACTATCATAAACATTAAAGAAACAAAAGACCTAAAAAAAAAAAAAAAAAAAAAAGCAAAGAAGAAACATTGCGTCCCTGGCTCCTAAGACAGCACTGGCAGAGATGGGCTTAAAAAACTGAAATCAAATAAAGAGAAGCAGTGTAATGAGACATTTCAGAGATAAGGTAACCGCTCTGTTCTCCCTCGGTGTTTCAGATTTTGATTTTTTTTTTCATTACATTAGTATACCAACATTTTTTACTTTGACAGAAGCTGGGTAGGAGAAAGGTTGGCAAAAGAAGTAATGTTAAGTAAGTATCATTGACCTAAAGAAATAAAGTGAGCAAAATTAATATAGCGAGTTTATCTGGGTCAAGGTTGAGGACTGCAGGCTGGTAAATGCTGAGAAGTGCTCCAGAGAAGAAAGGAGAGGCTCATGTTTTTTAAAGAAAACAGGACAAATTAGGAGAGGGGGCAATTATAAAAACTGTTTCTCAGGAATTCTCACTGGTATACAGAAATGAGTGATTAGTAATTGGCTCCACATTGTTGAACTATAGGGTCTGAGTTACGGTGCCCAGCATCTGGCATGGTTAGGTTAATTTATGGCTACTTGGTATAAAGTCCATACAACAGGCAGATTACTTAGCTCAAGAAAGGGAGTGAGACATGACTACTTTCACATTTTAATGCCCCGCTGGGCCTGACAATTTAAAAGAGCTCACGTTCCTCAGATAAAAAGCTTCTTGTCTTTCTCAGTATCAAGATGACCAATGCCAAATTTGTTTTTCAAATACAATTTATATTGTGTGGTTATTTCACAAAATCATCCAATTCCATCTGGCTTTTGATACCTATTCTACTTTTTGGAAGGATAAATTACAACCACCTCATTGTCAAATACTCTGGTGGATAAATACTAAAAGTACTTTATAGACATATAAATAGCTGAAATTATTCCTCCTGAATCATGTCAGAAAACTGCCTAGGATTCAAAACTTTATGCTTTGGTAACCATGTCAAAGAGAAAATAAAGAAAGTGTCAATGTAAAAACAAAACAATTATCTAGAATAGGTTCTCAATTTCTTTAATTTTGTGAAATGTTAGAATCAAAAAAAAAAAAAATCAAGAAGTTGTATTGTTCAACTTCCTGCCAGATGTAGAAATGGTCATACTCCTAAAGGATGGGTTACTTCACCAACGCTTCTCTGATGGGGAGGACTCTTTATTGTGAGCTGGTCTATCCAATTTTCAGTGGTTATAATTTTTAAAGAAAAAGAATTCCAATAGGGTCCCTTTTCCCATTAAGAAGAATCTAGATATTCAATGATTCTTGAAAAAGTCGAATTTAGTAAGTGTTTACGTATTTATTCACACTTTTGTGCTATATAATAAACCATAGGTAATTCCAGGCCATGTGGAGATCTGGGTTAGGTTTACATCTTATTTTCCTGCTTCATAACTTTAACTGCAGATTGACCAAGCAAGATATGGTGTCAGTTAACTTTTAACTCAGCAGCAGATGATACTTATGCGAGACTCCAAAAAGGGTGAGGAACAGAGAATGTTCTGTTCACACACTCACTAACACACTGACGTCATTTTAAAAATGAGATCATTGCTTTTTTTTCTTGCTATTTAAAAGTATGTTTTCAAGCCTGAAATTAAATCTAATATTCAATATGACTATGAACACATCACTCAAAATCCATGGTAACAATTCAGTCTTTAACATTCATTCATGCCATTTACAAATTTAATTGTACAAGTTAAAGGTAAACATTGTTTAATGGTACAAAAATATAAACAATGAATAACAACAGACTTATGGCAAAATATACTTGTGGGATACCTAACCATACCTGACATTTTTTAGTGCTTTCTTTGTCTTAAACCATTTAATCTTCTCAACAACCTTAAGACAGGTAGTTTTATTAAACATACTTTATACATGAGGGACTTGCACAGAAAAGTGTACTAATCCCTTTATTTAATAGATGAGGTATTTTTATTGTTAATTAATAACTAAAAGCATACCAAATGAATAATCAAATAGACACAATAAAAAATGATACAGGGCTCAATAAGAAAAGAAAACTGCAGGCCAATATCCATGATGAAAATAGATACAAAAATATTCAATAAAATACTGGTAAACCCATCACAACAGCACATCAAAAAGCTTATCCATCACGATCAAGTAGGCTTCATCCTGGGAATGCAAGGCTGGTTCAACATACACAAGTCTATAAACATAATTTACCACATAAACAGAACCAAAGATAAAAACCACATGATTATCTCAATTGATGCAGAGAAGGCCTTTAACAAATTTCAACAGCCTTTTATGCTAAAAACTCTCAATAATCTAGGTATTGATGGACTGTATTTCAAAATAATAAAATCTATTTACGACAAACCCACAGCCAGTATCATACTGAATGGGCAAAAACTGGAAGCATTCCCTTTGAAAACTGGCACAAGACAAGGATGCCCTCTCTCACCATTCCTATTCAATACACTATTGGAAGTTCTAGCCAGAGCAATCAGGCAAGAAAAAGAAATAAAGTTATTCAGTTAGGAAAAGAGGACATCAAATCGTCTCTATTTGCAGATGACATGATTGTATATTTAGAAGACCCCATCATCTCAGCCCAAAATCTCCTGAAACTGATAAGCAACTTCAGCAAAGTCTCAGGATACAAAATCAATGTGCAAAAATCTCAAGCATTCCCATACACCAGTATCAGACTTAAAGAGAGCCAAATCGAGAGTGAACTGCCATTCACAATTGCTACAAAGAGAATAAAACACCTAGGAATCCAACTAACAAAGAATGTAAAGGACCTCTTCAAGGAGAACTACAAACCACTGCTCAACAAAATAAGAGAGGATACAAACAGATGGAGAAACATTCCATGCTCATGGTTAGGAAGAATCAATATCGTGAAAATGGCCATACTGCCCAAAGTAATTTACAGATTCAACGCTATCCTCTTCAAGCTACCATGACCTTCTTCAGAGAGCTGGAAAAAACCACCTTAAATTTCATATGGAACCAAAAGAGAGCCCGCATAGTCAAGTCAATTCTAAGCAAAAAGAACAAAGCTGGAGGCATCACACTACTGGACTTCAAACTATACTACAAGGCTACCATAAACAAAATAGCATGGTACCAGTATCAAAATAGAGATATAGACCAATGGAACAGAACAGAGGCCTCGCAGGCAACAACACACATCTACAACTACCTGATCTTTGACAAACCTGACAAATACAAGCAATGGGGAAAGGATTCACTGTTTAATAAATGGTGTTGGGGAAACTGGCCAGCCATGTACAGAAAGCAGAAACTGGACCCTTTCCTGACACGTTACACTAAAATTAACTCCAGGTGGATTAAAGACTTAAACAAAAGACATAACACCATAAAAACTCTAGAAGAAAACCTATGAAAAACCCCTCAGGACATAGGCATAGGCAAAGACTTCATGACTGAGACACCAAAAGCATTGGCAACAAAAGCCAAAATAGACAAATGGGACCTAATTAAATTCAGAGCTTCTGCACAGCAAAAGAAACAATC